TTGGTCCAGTAGCGCCGAGGAGCGGCGCTGCGGGACCAACCCAGCAGCACCCCAGCTGCTCTGCCCCAGGTGTGTCGATTCAGCCGCTGCTGGTCAGTTTCAACAGCAGCTGAATCTGGACGCCAGTTCCGACTTACATACAGATTCAACTTAACAAACCTACGGTCTCGATCTTGTACATAACCCAGGGACTGCCTGTACTAATTTACTTAAATCAAGATCCACTAAACCAGAAGACTTTGAACAGCAACTAGCAAGTTAAAAAAAGATGAAATATATAGATGTGATAAGACAGAAGTGATCTAAAATTTTAAACTGAGATGGTCTTATTTCATGAATTTTTACCTGCAGTAGGCCTCCTTCATTGAAACGTAGCACTTCTATTATGCTATCCGACTGGATGAAAGCTGTGAAGTAAAAGGAAAGCTAATTACTTACAGAAATATATTTTAATTCCATAACATGAACAAATGCAACTGGACGTGTTATATTTGCCCTCTAGAGTTCATTTGAAAACTACAGTTACATAAGTGTTCAGCTCCCACCCCCTGAAAATCCCAGGCATTTGCCATAAGTGAATAGGACCCTAATAAATTCATGGCTCATTTTGTTCATTTTCATGCTCCTATGATTTAAAAAAAAAAAATTTCCTGATTTCAGCTATTTTAATCTAAAATGTCACTGTCTTGTAATTGTAGTGATCTTGACGCAAAAGACTTGCGGGGGTCCAAAAGGTTATTAAAGGAGAGGCTGCAATACTGCTACCATTACTTCTGCGCTGTTGTGGACAAGAGTGCTGTCTTCACAGCTGGGCTCCCAGCCAGCAGCCAATACTCTCTGGTTGCCCAGCTCTGAAAGCAGAGCCACTACCAACAGCAGTGCAGAAGTAAGGATGGCACAGTATGGCAGTACCACTGTTACTTCTGTGATGCTGCACGGGTACTGCGGTTATAGCTGTGAAGACAGCACACAAGTAATGATGGTAATACCATGACCTCCCCTAAACTAACCCTGCAACCTCTGTAACTCCCTTTTGAGTCAGGACCTCCAATTTGAGCAAAACTGGTTTCCCCTGTGAAATCATGTTGCTTGTTAACTATCCAAAGCAGTAGTGGGCAATCATTTTTGATGGAGGGGACAGTCAGCCCTTAGTGCCGGCCCAGAGGACAGCACTGACTTTTCTCCCAGCCCTCAGAACTACACTGAATGGTACTACAGCGCTTCCACAGCAAATCAAAGGGGCTGGGGCCTCTGACTGCCACTGCTGTAATAGCAACAGTGGGAGCCAGGAGCTCTGGGAAAAGGGGGCAATTACTCCTTTTGCCTCCCCCATCAGCGAGCCTGCCCTGCGATGTAGTATAAGGTAAAAGCACACAAAAGACCAGATTTCACAATGTGTTTTCATGGCCATGAATTTGGTATGGCCCTACCTATGAAAGATGAAGGGCAATAACAAAAGCTTCCATACCACATATTAGTGACTCATTTTTTGTTTATCCCTCCAGAGATGCACAGCTCAATATCAAGTTCTCTACAAAAGCACTCTAATTTTTCTAGTGTAACCGGAAGACAGTTAAATTACAAGTTAGCAACTCATCCAAGTTGCTTATTCATCAAGAAAGCACAACCATAGCTAATCAGCTACACTACTGCTATTTTAATCAATAAGCATCAGTAGTGAATATCATGGTCAAACACTTAAATGTAACTGAAATAGTAACAGCCTCATTCTCAAATGTCTATTTTAAAACGGACTAGAACTCATCTACTTTAGTTCTCTGCCTTCATTTTGACTTCCTTTATATCCTAAGATTTTAGAGTAATGAATAGCTACAGATATACAAGAAGAGTATATTATGAAGTTCAATAAAAAAAACCAAATACTTAAGGTTCATTTCATATCAGAAATAGAGATGGTCAACAAAGTTGAAACATTTTTCCCATAAGAATTTACTAGTTCATCAAAATCTAAACATTTGGAGGAAACTGACTCAAACTTCTGATGGAACCATGCCTGTTTTCCTGCTAGTTCATCCATCTAATTCTGGGGCAGCCCAGCCATGCATTGTGCCTTGGAACTGGGGACTACTAGGTACTTGAATCCACTGATGTACTGTGAGAGACAGATTTCCCAGCTCCCAAGTCTCTTGGTAGCCTGTAGTACAGCCAGAAGTTCCAGTCTCCACCTTGGAGAAAGTGCACTCAGGGCTTCCCCTCTTCCTGGCACCTTATGACCTGGGTAGTCCTACTAGTAAGGACCAAGAACTTCCAGGCTTTCTAGCAGCCCATCAGGGGGCCACTATGGAGTCAAGGAACTTTGTAAACCCTGGCCACTGCTGACTGGAATTAATAAATTATTAATTTCACTGCTGCTCACAAAAGTGGTAGAATTGACCAGATTTGTACAAATTCAATCTGCAGCTGCCAGGGCTTCCAGGGTCATCCTCTTCACAGCAGCCAACTAGATAGGCAGCTAGAGGTGCCAAAGAGCAGAATTCACTTCAAAATAGTACATTCAGTGTTTTAAAATGAAACCAATCACTGAATTTCAATTCTGAACATTTTAAACCAGGGGTGGGGAATCTAAGGCCCCTTGCCTGGATCCGGCCACTGAAACTCAGGGCTCCTTCCCCTACCCCAGCATTGGGGAGCCTGTGTTAACACTTCACCTCCACCCCAACCCAACCACCTTTTCACGGGGCTGGGGCACACAAAATCCACTAGCCTGGTTCCCACACCCCTAAGGCCCTACTGTACAAGGGGAACGTGAGGGGTGTCTTTCTCTCTCCCAGTTGGGGGTCATATCAGAGGCTCCAGACCCAAAAAATGGTTCCCCATCCCAGTTTTAAATTGTGATGTTCTATCTCATTTGAGGCAAAAACCCCTCACATTTGTGCAGACCTGAAGTTTGGTTTCCCAATCAGCTCTGACTATAAAGAACTGCAAGTGGTCTGGTAGCACTTTATATAGACTAACAAAACATGTAGACGGTATCACGAGCTTTCATGGGCACAGCCCACTTCTTCAGATGACCAGAGGGTGAAGGATGATGGGAAAGGAGTGGTAGTGGAATTCTCTTTTAAAGGGAGGCATTTAATTAACATTTTAGTCCAAACATTGTCCAGCTCCCTTCAAAGTTTGATTCACTGCACAATATTCAGCCACCACCACCAAGAGAGAGAAGTAGTCAGCCCAGAGTTATACAGTGCTGCCATTAAACCAATAAGAAAGCATTTTTGGCCTCTTTGCTTCTGTTTCAGCAACTAAAGCAAAATATACCATTATCCAACTTATTTATTCAATCTAATTATGGAGTTTAGTTTATAAAAAGTCTCAAGTCTAGTCTATTAATATGGTGCTATGTAAAAATCAGTACTTTAATGTAATTGCTGATTCAAAGTGCTTTCAAATAATTTTGCTAACAAAACATTGTTTTCCTTACAGTGCAGCTATGGAAGGAACAAGCTACTCTATCCTGCCTTACACACTGATAATATTTTGCATTCCAATTTCAGAATCTTTATTATTGATAACAAAGAACACAGGTTGCTTCTGAATTCTCATGGAGAATTTACAAATTAAGTTAGAAAAAGCTTGGGTTTGTTTTTTGTTTGTTTTTTTAACTTGTAAAGTAAGAAGAGGATACAGATCTCCATGATGTCACTTTACAGCATTGCATTGCCACTCAACAAACTTCAGAACTCAGAAGCAAAGTTTCAAATACAAGGTTGCAAATATAGACCAGATCATCCTAGTATGCTTTAGTGTACTGTGGAGTAGGGATGCAAAAATGTGTTTACAAATGTAACTGTGTAACTGCTAAAAATGATAGCAGTTACACCATGGCAGGCTCTGCAGTATAAAGCTTAAATAAGCTTTATACTGCAGAGCTGCAGCAAAGCCACCACCCACAGGAGCAGGGCCGGCAAGGACTGCCCAGGGAGCCAGCGTGTAACCTGCAGTGGGAGGAGGGAAGGGCCAGACCCACCATGGACAGTGGCTGCTCCAGCAGGCCTGACAAGGCTGGAGCAGCCTCCCCCAGCCTCTATAGGTTAACCTGAAACAGAAAGCCTCTCTCCGGGTGAGGCTCACTGGTTAACCTTTTACATCCTTAATGAGGTGCTCCAAATAATTAATTGTGGTGTAAAGATGATCTACAGTATCTTATCAGTAGACCCCTGCAAAATAGGGATGTCAACCTGTAGTCGACTACACAATTAACTGATCAGCGTAGGCTTATCAATTAATCTTGTTGATTACATGCACTTCCCACCCCCTTGCTACCTCTGTGTTGGAGGCAGGAGCCAGTGCCTGTGGGGAGCCAGTTTTTAAGCCGGCTCCCCAAAAGCACCAGATCCTGCAGAGCCGCCTGCCCTCCCCCACCCCTGCACTGGTGCCTCAGACAGAGAGGCAGCAGTGCGGAGGAAGGGGGGGTGTACACATGGGAAGTCAGCTCTCAAGCTAGTTCCCCACACATCAGCCTATGCAGAGCTGCCTGGTCCCCCGTACTGCTGCCTCTCTATCAGAGGCAGCTGCGTGGGGTGGGAGCACACTGGCAGGAGCTGATAGGTGTGGGAAGCCAGCTTTTAAGCTGACTCTTCATGCATGCTGGCTCCACAGAGCTGCCTCCTCATCCCTTGCTGTCTCCCACAGTGGCGGTGGGGACAAAGAGGGCAGGGGAGACAGGCACCAGCTCTGATTCTCCCCACCCCACTGCTGCCTCTATTGGAGGGAGCAGGGGAGGCTGCCATGGACCAGCCTCTGTTTGCGACAGCCCCAGGCTTGGCATAGACAGGGGCTGTTCCGTGGGATGCCGGCGCAGCCTCCGGCCATGGAAAGCTCAGGCCCCTCATAGGCAGGCGCTGTTGCCACCCCACAATGCTGCCTCTGTCTTTTAAACCGTTTTCCCTCACAGACTGGCTTCCACCTGCTACCCTGCACTGTTGCCTCTGTTACAGAGGCAGCAGAACGGTTTGGCAAGGTGGGCTGGGAGTGAACTGGCTGCCGGCCCTACCTCTGGAGACCATTGAATAGTTGTGTAACTGCTAAAATGTCATATGGTTACACGATTATTCAATTACACTATATCTAACATCCCTAATGCAAATCTGCAGGTATTGCTTTATAGTCACACGTTATCTGCAGATATCCGTGGACCATTTCTGCTGATAGTAGCATGGATACAGAAACACAGGGCTCACCGAACCACGGCGAACCCCGCTCGCCAACTTTGCTGTCCGGCAATCTGCACATGCGCAGATTGCCCAAACCCGGCTCTTCCGGGTTGCAATCTACTCGCCACGGGCAAGAAGATTGCATTATTTGTCGAGCCCTGCAGATACAAATTTTCTATCTACACAAACCTCCAACAGTGAGAATCCTGCAGGCAGTTGTGAGGAACCATAGT